TTCGGAAGCTCCGGGCATCGCCTGTTGATCGTGTGTTGTTGGATTATTAAAGTTTGTGTCCGAGGTTCTCGTCTTCTTACTATTCGCCGTGCTAGGAGTCTGTATCAAGCAACATAGCTGGGGATAGAGTATTGCCACGATCCGCATATCCTATTGTTTTGCTCGCAGCGTGATCGAACCGTAACATATTTGGCGACGCAAGATGGAGGCAGAACAACTCAAAGTAATGTTTGAGCAACAACTGCAACTCATCAAAGTACTTACGGAGCGACTATCAACTACATCTTTGGCTTCCCCGGCTGCGGTGTTTGGTAGGAAATCCATGTGCATTTCAATTTTTACAGAACAAATGGACATACGTGTTCCAACCTAGAGGACAGTGGTATGTGCTTGTCAGGTCTCTAACCATTGGCCAACTTGGTATAGGAGACTGCGATTGTCGCACGGGCATCCCTAAGTACAGGTGAATGGGTCACACAGGACCAAGAACCAATCCAACGTCAAGATCCAATCGCTTCACGACGGTGTGATCTAAATGTATCTATATTCAACTTGTACTATTTGTCATGATCTCCGTCGGGTTCTTCGGCTTGGTGGACACCCGATAAGCCGATCCAATGCACCCAGTAAACACACGGCCACCAGTGGCTAAGTTTGCAGCGTTGTTAACACCGATTTCTTTTATGAACACAAGCCAAATTTACTGTTGCATAAAAGCCCTCTGAAAACAAGTAAAACATGATAAGTTTGATGTTGGAGCCCTATTTAAAAACTCATCTTCGAAACTGATTCATCATCATTATCAGCCGTAATACCCGCGTACTTATCGTACAGTGGTTGTAGTTGTCACAGTTTCGTTCACCGACGCTTTGGGGAGGCGGGGCAAGTAGCTCTGCATTGGAGGCGGGAGCTGATAAATTGGTAAATACAAAGTCAGTAAGGGGTTAAGTGGGGGGTTTGAATAGGGATGCATCAAAAGCAATAGATTGAATGCAAGAGCGCCATTGAGGGCGCTACTGAGTCATGCCTGACAATGTCTCTAATCATCGACGCGGCCCGTCTCGGGGTCCCCATCAGAGAAGACGGCAGTAATAGGCGCAGCTGAGCTTGCGGGTAATGGCTTTTAAACTTCGCTGTCAAGTCATTGTTTGACCTCCCCTAGCTCGTTCCCAGCCTTCACGTGGTTGTCCAGAAAGAACCCTTCGATGAAGTCGGTCGACTAGCAAACGGAGCACGTGGCCAAGCCAGTGCAACCTATGCAGTGTGATCAGTTCATCTATTAGGGGTAAATTATTTCTCCCGAATACCATTCAGCGTACTTCAGCATTGCTGATCCGGTGTTGCCACCTGATTCGGGCTCCGAAGACATCGGTGGTCAAACATTGAAAGTCTTTTGACATACTCAGCGTGCAGCGGCCAGGTGTCTGATCCGTACAGTAGTATGGAGTGCACCGCAGCATTGTAAGCTCGACTCATAACGGACAAACTGATATCACGCTCATGCCAGAGGTGACGCAGGTTCACAAAAGCTGCTCTGGCCTTCCCGATCCGGAAGGAAATAAATTTTGCGATACCACCGGAACTTATACAGCTACACGGGTAAACAAATTTGTCCACCATCTCAATCGGCTCGTCCGCAAGCATGAGGTTAGGTTCCGAGTTCACCCAGTCTTGCAGCAGCACTTTACACTTTGCCGGTGTGAAGCGCATGCCGAACCGTGAAGCAGAATTACTTAGATCATTTAATATTATTTGCATTACCACGGGGTCAGATCCAAGAGGAAGTATGTCGTTTGAGTACTCGATATCTGCGAACGGGCGCCCTGGGAGCACCAACTCAATACACGGTGTATTTTTTTGGCTTCCACCTTTGGCCGACCGTAGCAACCGGCGGCATGCGTAACGTACCACCCTATGCCACGGGTGGAGTGCTTAGTGGGCATCCATAGATCCTACCTAATTCCTTTGTCTATAGCAGTCCACTTTTTTAAACATCCCACATAATTTAGGTTTAATGTCTTTCACCCACAGTGGACGCATGTCCACTTAGTCCCTACGACATAACCAGAAGCCTCAATGCAAAAAAAATAAACGTTTCATGAGTAGCAATGATGTAGAACAGGAGTATACAAAGAGGCTAAGCTTACCTGAGGGTTTCAATACGTAAATCAAGCTTCTCGTCACAAGTGGGGGTTGCGGCACCAATTTTCTCCTCGATAATTTGTTTGGTACATTTGAATGTATTCACACTCCAGTTCTTTATGCTGTCCAATTTTCTGTACAACTGAGGACGTTCATTGTGTTCTCCTTGAGGTGGACTTGTATTCGGTATATCATAGGAGGCTAGTTTTAAGTGTCAGGCAACAGTAACCATACCTTTCTGATATGCTTCTTCGACCAATCCACCGTTAGGGACTGGGGGATGAGACTGATCAGGATAGAAATTTGTGTTTGAGGTCTCCGCAAACACGTCATTGGGACTGTGAAGGACAGATCGAGAGCCAGTAGTAGTTGGGGAGTAACTGCCATTCGACATATTTCGAGGTAAAGATCAGCAGCGAGAACTATGAGCTGGAATGGTTTGAATCCATTAGCCGATGGCTGCAAATGACAGACAAGACATCAACAAAGGACAAGTGATCACCACGCTGTGAAATGATTTGGCTAAGAGTTACACGAGACATGCTTCTCCATGATAATCCTCACGAGCAATTAACATCTCCGTCCAACAGTCAGTCACCCGCAGAGACCGCACAAATCTAACCAATTGTGCAGGTCAGTTTGTGTGCTTAAAGTATACAAGTCGAAAATAACGGGAGAAAACTTGTACGAATTTAAACATGACACACACTCTCACCTTCTGAACCACCGCCGTCTAGACTGTTTTTTTTTCAATTCATTTTCAAAGGCGGCAAAGCGACCGGTTTCCGCTTCTGTCGTTATCCCCTTAAAATCGCGCACCGTTGTTTTAAGGTCGCGCAGTACCAGCCCTAGCGGTCGGGTAAGTTCAGTTCAAACGTGAAAGTACGGTGATTTACGCACCTGAAAACCCGTCGGTAACAAGGTGTATCAGGTAAAGTAACTCATTGATGTGCACAGATCATCTGACGACATTAATATGCATGCAATAATCGAGAGTGAGCGTAATTCGAATGATCGAGTTATTGGAGAAACGACCAGTCTCTGAGGCGTGATTTTGTGTAAAATTTTTCATAATATTTCCTGCTCCTACATACCAAATGAGTAAACTCTCTGGAAAAATTCTTACAGGGTGTGGAGTCACTGCCATAAATGAAAGTCCATTGCAAGTCCCCACGACACTGAATTTGGCTAATTGTCCTTTTTGTAGAACACTGTTATGGGTGACTATTTTTCGTAAGTAGTTCCGTTCAAAATATACGGGGTTTTTCTCCGGTAGTACCACTGTGTCAGGCACGTGCCTCGATCAGTGATTGTAGCGGCTTCCCTTAAGAATAATTTCGACCGACTTTTGAATAATAAATAGGGGGCCCCTAGCTTGGCTAATGGCAGTCTGCTTGGCAGTGCAAAACGCCTTTTAGAAGTCTAAGTAGCATCGTTAAATTTCCGCCGCCCATCCGTTGTCTGGGTTATTTCGCCAAGAAAGTAGAGATGTGTGCACATATCATTAAAAATCCCTACAGCAGGACAACCCATATGCTGTAGGTAATCAGTTAGGTAACTGGTTAATTTCTGGTGATTACGCTCACTAACTTTGGGACCGCTGATGCCAAGCTGGAAAGCCTGGAGATTGAATCTTTTCAAGTTCCTCATTCCTGTTTATCACCTTCATGCAAGCGGATCTTAGTCTCTCGACCTTACCAGCGCAGACAACAGGGACAAATGTGGGACCTGTTAAATGCAGCTGTCAGGTTGACCCCAAGTATGGATTGTGGACAGCCAAACTTTTGCGTCTGAAGCCAAACCAAACGTCAAAGCCTAGCAGTGGTTTGGTTAATCTTAACTTGCTCCAGCGCACCATATGTTTCGCGGTCTATTTGGGCTGCCAATTCAGTACAATAGGCCTCTTCGTTCTAACAAAAATATTTATTCCCAGCAGGTGGGCGGCATACCATCAGGTGTAATCATACAGATACAGTCAGAATAAGAGATGACTAATGGGATTTGTAGGTGCTGAGGACTGTGAAGAAACAGAGAGATCACACAGATAGTGGGTCTTGTCTGACACAGATACGGTCAAGTCCAAACTGACATGGGCTAATTTGGGTGAAGCAGAGGTTGGAGTCGGGGAACAATTATTACAGCCACGTATGCTTCGTCGGATGATAATTGATGGCGATATTCCGACGCTTTCCGTATTTCCTAACTGTTCATCAATGCACGCGAGGAACCGATTTGGGTGAATTTTGGCAGAGCAACGTATATCTGGCTTGTGGATACAAGCCCTACACCTTTCCGATCCCGGATGCCATGGGTGCCGGGCGTCCAACTATGTACGCTATCATAAAAAACAAACGCTTTGCACCAATGCGTAAACTAATCGGCTTGTTCAGGGAAAGATTGGCAAACAGTATCCAGTGAAGAATTTCGTGAATAATGAACTGGAGGTATGGATGCGGGCAGAAAGAGTGGTGTTTGATTGCAATGTTATGCTGTGCTGCTCTCATATTCGGAAAGCTGTCTGGAAGAACGTCTGTATCGTATAACGCACATACATTTTGCTCACAGGCAATGCATACAGCCGGTACTAGCCTGGAAGATGCCCTACAGTGGGTTTTCGTTTATTGCAACACTGGCACAAAGAACTCGACAAGATCAGAAGCTGCCGTGCCACACGGACCCATGGTTTCTCTTTTATTGCACGGCCTCCTGGTTGTACATCACCAGCAAATGGACTATATACGCACCATCCGGGATTGCCCATTTTGGTAATATGGCCAACAAACGTCTGGGGAGCGCAACCCCCTCTGAAAAACCAAGTTCACTACTCAGGAACACTGGCACATGCCATACAGAAGGTATCCTGGTAGATCAAGTGGCTCATTCGGGAATATGAGTTTCATGCGCCATATCACTGCGACCGACAGAAAATCCTTAAAAGCTACTGCTATGTTCTAATCATTGTCAAGTGACCACGTACGTGGGCTCCCTGGTTTTGAGTCACTTGAGACTATGACCCACTAGTCTGCACCATCGTGGTGTTAGAGCAAACAGGGTAAAGTCAATCTGCGTCCAAGAGCTAATAAATTATGGTGCAAACACCCAAATGCTATCAGACGGTTGGCACCCGCGCTGGAAAGTGCACATGAATCTTCTACAAGGCATTAATTTGTTCTCCGCATTAAGAGACAGGTTAGTTGCATGAGGTAAGAAATATCATTCACGGGTGTTTTATCAGGATTTTTCCCATTCACCAACGCTGGCCGTTTGATTTAAACCTACTGAAATCAGGTATTCCTTTTACATATGTTCCCTAGCCAAGCCGTCAACTTTAGACGGCCTGCGTGAACAGCTAGTGTTGAATAAACTTCAGGGGCTAGAACACGGGAGCACCGTAGGCGTCATTGAGCAGTTGCTCGTTCAGAGGCGAAACCTACCGTGCCAAGGCTTGACGTCCGCAAATAACTACCTGCCGTTGGTGATCAAGACTACTTCACTTCAAATTAGATGGCGCTCTAAGGACGCATACGTCGGATTTTGCGTGCTTTGGGACAGGCCGAGTAGTAGCAGTAATCGCTGCCGTGCGGTGATGCTCTTCAGGCTTGTGCCAGACGTGGGTCCGCAGAGGAGTGCTTTATTTCTAGTGCCTAGCTTTCTGCCCGCCAGTAAACACGCAAGCGTGCTTGTTAAATTGCCTGCGGGCCACAGCAAGAATCCCAGCACACTATGTCCTGGAAGTCAATGTGCGTCCGTATTTTCCACTTCGATAATACAATATTAGTATGCCAATACTATAGTAATGCCATATTATGTGTTAATACTGCAGAGCGACAGCTAGAGAAAAATGATTATCTCGTGACTAATACGAGACAATCATTTCCGGACTGTTCGTCTGATAATGAAACATGACGGGATTCAGGGGTCTCGTATTTCTTGAGGGCTGATTGTCGGTGGGCATCAGGAGACAAGAAAAAACATTATACGAAACAGCCCCTAAAGATGGCAGTATGTGATCAAGCCTATTCGAGATCGTCATCGCTGATGTGCTCCTCTAATATCGATCGCTGCTCCCACCTCATCAACTACCTACTTCATACAAGTTAGACCTTTCACCTCTTCGATAGGATGGATTAGCGGGCATCGGACCGTTGATTATGAACCATGGACCCCCAGCCACCTGTTAGTCGTGTGAATCAGCCAGTCTTGCTCAGCTCTGCACCAGTTCCCATATAGCTAGTTGATCAGGCATCGTTGCCCCAGTTCATACACGTTAATATCACAGCAACCACAGCACCGAGAAACCTAACTTTCTGGATGGCCCCGTGACGGACGTCGTGAATAAGGTTGCTTGGCTGCGATGCGCAGTTCCGTGGGCAGCAGGATGTTGTGGGTTTTCCAGGGGTCTTTGCAAGTGGAGCAAAACCATTGTAATATCGCAGACAGTATTTGTTTTTTCAGTAGGGGGCCCATTCATGTGTAATGCACACATCGGATGGCGTGGATAATGGCCAAACAGGACGTTCGTAGCACGCACCACCGGCAAAGTTGTTTGGTGACAACAAGTGGTTAAACGGGACAGGATAAAGATGGTTCTGCACTCGGTAGTCTAGTCATCGGAATTAAACCAAGATAGTATACTATATACTATATACTATATACTATATCGGAATTAAAGATAGTATACTATATACTATATACTATATACTATACTGAGATGGAGGAGATTTCGATGAAAGTGAGCAGAGAAGCTGGACGGTAAAGGAAATCAAACACGCAAGAAATGGCGGGGGGGGGGCTTCTGAAATGGTGGGCTTTCCCGCACGTTATTACTGAGTTGGATAATCTAGGAGGGAAGATGAATGAAAGGGGGTGGTCACCAGTCCCCGAAGCGCTACTATCAGCTTTACTCTATAAGTAGTACAGGAAGACTTTTGACGCTTGCCTCACATGCTGGAGTCGTACTAAATGTATATATTTTACTTGTTCACTCATGAGAGCGGCAGGTGGATGTTTTCTGTCTGGTTGACGAGCTAAGTTCTGATGTGGTGTATCTTCTGTTCTGATGAAGGCAGATGTAGGCCACGGGCATCGCACAGTATCTTCGGGTTATCCCAGGTATGATGTTTTTTGACAGACGAAGGGCCAGTTTTTTCCTCTTTGCTTCACGGCATTGCCTGGTAAATAATCCAACTGAGGCGAGTCCAACATCAGCAGAAGCGAACAAAAGACAGCCGTGCCCCTTTTTAGTTTCCTGAATTTGAAGGCTGACCTCAGAACCACCGGCAATGGGTAATGCACCCGTGCTCAGGGTAGTAGAACAAGGCGCCCGTTCGGTGTGAATCATTATAGTAGAGTCAAGCAGTATTATTTTTTATCGGCAAAGTATTCAATGATCCAAGCGCAAATCGACGCCACGTTTCGAAGGAATTTTTGAAGCTGATCGAGCTTGTTCCTCCCAAGGTTTGCACGCTAGCAAGCAGCACAGCTGATTTTATCTTTGGAACACACCAAATTTATTACCTCATATCTTCTATTATTGTGGCCGTTTTATGCAAACCAATTATTTCCCCCATCTAACATCATTTTAGGTTTGGTTATTTGGATCAAGACACAATAAATTCAGAGGGTCTCCAATCCAAGATGTTGCGCAAACAAGAAATGGATGAACAAATTGAATTTTAGGCAGTATTTATCAACGGCAATAATGAAGACAGGGTAATCAGTTTGATTTAGAGTAGGCATAAGGAGCGGACGTCGTTTCCCTGACAGAAATGAATAAGCTGTTGACGAAGTAGTTGCAAGATAGTGTGTTATTTTCGCTTGGGCATTAAAGAGATGCTTTTTGGCAGGAAAGACATGCTGCGTCCTTGATCTCAGTACGTGTTTGACGGCAGCCCAC